CCAAGATCTGTCATGTAAAGGTACAAGATCCCAGTGATGAATGTAACTGTACTGTATCCCTAAAAGGTACCAATAAACTCAATGATTAAAAAAAGATCGTTCTCTGTAAAAGCCACTGTTAAAATAAAAATACAAGTTAAAATATAAAAAGATATTTGTCGATCACACTTGATGAAGAACTTCTACACATCATATACTTAAAACTATCAGAATTAAAGAAGAAAAATCTAGTTACAAAATAGGCCGAAAAAATGGAAATAAAGTATTTGTAAATAGGGAAGGGGGAGGGGGTAAAGAGAGGGCAGGGATAAGGGGAAAAAATGAGAACCAAGACCTGTCATTAAAGGTACAATATCCCAATGATGACTGTAACTGTACTGTATACCTAAAATGTACAATAAACTCAATGAGAGAAAAAAACAAAATAGCCCAAAAAAATTTTAAAGTGCTTCAAGAAGATGCATCGATGGCAAATAAGCATATGAAGAAATGTTCAACATTTGTAGTGATCAAGTGAACTAAAACTCCAATGAAAAACACTGCACATCTACTAGAATCTCTTAGACCAATCTAAACCAAACCTGGTAACAAACACTAGGAGGGCAAGTTGCTGGTAGGAATACAGAATAGCACAGCCACTTTGGACAAATTTCAGACATACACAGCCTATGGCTCAGCAGTCCGACTCTGAGGTATTTACCTACAAACAATGAAGACTTATGTTTACACAAAAGCCTACAGCAACTTTATTCTTAATTGCGGCAAACTTAGATGCTGAGTGTCCTTCAGTTGGCTGAATTCATATGTCTGTACCATGAAAGGCAACTCAGTAATAAAAAGGGACCAACTATTGGCTGACATAATGATGTGAATGAGTCTGCGTGTGAAAGAAGCCAGAACCATAAGGCTGCAAACTGTCCCACTTGATGGGTGTGACACTCTGAAAGGCAAAGCTAGGAACAGGGAAGTTATTAGTGGACACCAGGGATTAAAGGTAAGGGAAAGATTTGACTCCGGAAGGACAGTGCTGGAAAGCTTTTGCAACTGATGTTTTGCAACTTGATTGTGGGGATAATTCTACAACTCCACACCTACGGGAGAGAGGGGTGGGGAGTGCATGTGCGGGGAGCAAACCCAAGGCCTCAAGCACACTGAGTGTACATGCTACCACTGAGCTACACCCAGGCTGAAAGTGATTTTTTAATGTAAAAATAATTTTTTGGAATTGATTAAAAAAAAAAAAAGGACCCAATCCACAGATTTAAGAAACCCTGTGATGAGCCAGGCGTGGTGGCACACACCCATAATCCCAGCACTTGGAAGGCTGAGGTAGGAGGATCTCTGTGAGTTTGAGGCCAACCTGGGCTACAGAGTAAGACCCTGTTCCCCCACCCCAAAAAAAGAAACCCAGGGAATCCCAAAAAGAATAAATAAAACGAGGCAATCCATACGGTATGAAATGGAAGAAAACCAAAACCCAAATTAAAAGTCTTAAAATGAGTCTGAGAAAAAGAAACAAATTACTTTTAGAAGGAGCAGAAAGTTAGTTGGTGACTGATTTTTCAACAGTTCAGTAGAATCACAAAGCAGTAAAATAATAGCTTCAGTGTATCCTTAGAAAAAAGAACTGCCAACCTAGAATGCTGTACCTGAGAAAGATGTCTTTCCGGAATGAGAAAAATAATAAAGATATTTTCAAACAAAGAAAATTTAAGTTTGACACCTTTAAGCCCTCAGAAGAGAAGGTTCTAAAGGAATCATCTGTCAGGCCTAAGGTGAGGGGCACAAGAAGGAGTGAAGAGCAAGGGACATGACAAACAGCAGCCACATCCCCGGGACCTGGAGCAGCATCTTGGATATTTTAAACAATCTGAATAAAAATAATAGGACATAAAAATGGGAGCGAAGTGTTCAGGGTTCCCTGTATTGATGTGTAATAGAATGCATAGCATAATCAGTTTGCTGTGCAAATCACTGACAGAACAAGAGCAAAGGTAAAACTTACAGGCTCTTAGTGGGAAGTGGGATGATGGAAAAGAATAAATAAAAAGGTCAGTTAACCCAGAAGAAGAAGAGAAAAGAGATTTCAAAACACCTCAGATGGCAGACTTATCAATGAATGTATCAGTAATTACAGTGAGTTTATGTGAATTTATTAGATTATTTGTTCCACTTAAGAATTAAAGACTATCATATTTGATTTTTAAAACCCTAAATATATGAACTTAAATAAAGATTCGTAAGTGAGGATAATAAAAGGATGCAAAAATATAAAAAATTTTTGGATACTGGGCAAAAGGAGATGACCACTCATAATAATCAAAATAAAATTTAAGGCAAAAATATAATTAAAATAAAGAGGGCCATTTTCCAAAACAATCAAGTGGGAAAAAATAATTTTGCATTTCTTGTAACGTAGAAATTGACACCTGAAAGATAAATAATAATCTATAAAGTGGGTTAGTTTCTCTCTCAAATTGATAGAACAAATGTATAAATAAAATATTTGGCAACACAATTAAAAAGAAAAAGACTTTATTCTAATTAACATATATAGAACATGAAAGAAAACACTTTTTTTTTTTGGTACCAGGGATTGAACTCAAGTCCCTGTGGAAAACATATAATTTTCAAGCACCATAGGAACATTTACAAAAAGTATCTATATAGCTGGGCATAGTAGCGCACACCTGTAATCCCAGCTCTCAGGAACCCGAGGCAGGTAGATCACCATGTGTTTGAAGCCAGCCTGGGCTGCATAGTAAGTTCAAGGCCAGTGTGTACTGTATAGCAACCCCCCAAAAAAAATTATCAATATGATCATTTGATAATAAAGCAAGTCTACTCATATTTGAATGGATCAAATCATTTAGAAGCTATTATCTTACCATAATACAATTAAGCTGGAAATCATTAACAGAAAAATAATGAAGAAAAATCTGCTGTGGTTGGAAATGAAGACATACTTTTCTAAATAACCTATTGGTCTAAGAAAACATCATCATGGAAATTAGAAAAATGTTTCCACCAAACAGTGATGAAAATACTACAGTTGATAATGCAAACATGCAGTTAAAACAAATTTAGAGGGAAATGTATTGCCTGTAAATGTATAAATACAGAGGAAGTCTAAAAATTAGTAAACTGTGTTCAAATTTTTAAAAGATAGCAAAGCGAACCTGAAAAAAGTGCAAGAAAGAAAAGAGTAAAGATGAGAACAGAAATCACTGCAATATACAATTAATATTCCATAGAGTTAATAAAGCCAGATTTTTTTATAGCGCTATAAAATCGGTAAACCTCTGACGAGTTCGATCAAGGGAAAAGGGCACAAAGAATAAATATGAGGTCTCACCTCTGATCAGCAGGTTAGGGAGGTGTGTGGTTTGCTGAGACCTCCAGGGGGCGCCCTGAGCACATGCAGAAACTCAGGAGTCTTTCAGACTCGCACTCGTGGTGCACACCCCTAGTCTTTAGCAGCATAAACATTTTGAGATTGTAAGGAGATTCCCATAGGACATTAAGAAAAACTCACTTCCTTTTGGGGAGAAGCTCTCTCCGCCCCTGCTAGAATGATGCTAAATAATTCTGCCCTCGAAGGCAGGATTATGTCAACTTCCCAAGGGAGAATTAATGTAAGCAAATGGAAAGACCCTGTTTTATTTTTAAAGGACTTCCCTGTACAAAGCTATTCACTTCGAAAGCATCTTTAGCTAATTGCTTTAGCAGATTTCTTGGTGCATTAGCAGCATCCCGGTTGCATCTGATGTTGCATCCTTGTGGCTCACACACCTCAGGAGAGGAGGAATGGACCACACTGCTGATGTGGAGTCTGCGGTCTTGGCTAGGACAGCATCCATGAATGAGAAGGAAGGGCACATCAGAGAATGATCACAAATCACTCTTTCCAAAGAGTTGCGCCTTCTGACAATCCAGGAAGAGTGGCACAGCATTAGTTCATCATGGTCCTGGGCACTCCAGCCAGCCACCCCTTGCCTGTGAGGCTGGCCTCCTCTGATTGTCCTTTGTCTGCACTAGATAAAGCATTTGAAATTTATTTTTAAAATAACGTGGATAAAGGAAATGTGGAGTATAAACAATGGAATATTATTTGACCACCAAAAAGGGATGGTCTCATATTTTTTGCACCAAAATGAATGGAACTGGAGGATATACACTAAGTGACAGAAGTCAGGTGCAGAAAGGCAAATACTGCATGTAACCTGAAAAGCATTGATCAGAATGTGTAACTGTGATTACTAGTGAGTCGGAAGGGTGGGAGGGAGGAAGGTTAGATAGCAGTCATCTGGACATAGGTAGAAGTAGTCAGTTCTAGTGGCCCACTGTGCAGTGGGGGAACGTTAGTTCCCAGAGACCTATTGTACATTTTATGACTAATCAGAAGAGAGGAACTTGAAGGCTCCCAACACAAGGTAATGATCCTGAGTTGGAAATGTTAGCTGCCCTGCCTTGGTCAGGATGAGATATACACATATTGAATTATTGCATTGTACTTCATAAGTATGTACAATTATTATTTCTTAATCAAGAAAGTTTAAAGTTTAAGATGATTGGAAATGTTAACTACCCTGATCTGATCATTATATTCTATACACGTGAGTCAAATTATCACACTGTACTCTCTAAATGTGCATAAAGTAATACTTAATTTTTCTAAAAAAGAAAATACACAAAGTGTTGTCATACAGCTCTTTTCTCATCTGGACTTTCCCTGATGCCTGCATACATTTTAGAGATCATGACTTGATCTCCTTTGAGAGGAAAGTTGCCTGGGTTTTGAGTCTGTGCCTGTGGCCCCAGGTTGCTCTTGGTACATTTACTTAAATACCCTAAAGAAACAGAGTCTCAGTTCATTTCCAGGTGTGCAGGTCTAGGTGCAGAGTGGTCAGAGGGTTAGAGAAGCCACTGACCAACCCAAGGACAGAAGGCTCACATCTGCACACAATCCCTTGCTGATTGATTTTTTAAAATCTGTACAGGGAAGAAAAAGTCCAAATTCAAAACTTTTAAGAAGTTATTTGGGAAGAAGAAGAGGAAGGAATCACCTTCGTCTGCAGGAAATAGTGCCTGGAAACAAAACCCAGCCAAGAGCGAGGTCATTGCCATCGAGTCCGGGCCAGTGGGCTACGACTCCGAGGATGAGCTTGAGTAAGTCGATTTTGCACCCATCGGGCTTATGCACTAACACAAGAAGGTGGGGACCAGTGGACACAAGAAGACCCAAGACACTATTCCATGTCTGGGGTTCTGGAGCCTCCTTCCCCCCAGGTAATCCTATCAGTGGTCCTTCCATGCAGAGTATGTTGCCTGTCTTTTCACACACAAGAATGGAGAAAGCTAGGGAACAGTCACCCAGTTAGGAAGGTGCTGTGTGCCGAATGCTGTACATATTAAAGGCCCAGGCTAGGCATGGTGGTGCACACCTGTAATCTAAACCTTCTGGGAGGCTAAGGCAGGAGGATCACAAGGTCAGGCCCAATGTAGGCAGTGTAGCAAATTAATGAGACCCCAACTAAAACTAACTTTTAAAAAAAGACTGAGGATGTAGCTCAGTGCAGAGGCCCCATGTTCAGTCTCCAGTACAGAAAAATGAAGCCCACTGTAACTGCAGGAAGAGGTACTGTGTATCATCATATAAAGAAGCAAACCAAGCCACAGAAAAACTGGAACTTGTCCAACATCCTACAGCTGAAAGTGGCAGGGTCAATATGTAGGCTTTGGTTTAATTTAACTTGAAACTATTTTGAGGACCTGAAATACTGCACTAGAAAATACATTTCTCTAAACTGAACTCCCAGTAATCTAAGAAGAACATTTTCACTAGACAGCAGTGGAAGAGAGAGAAAAAGGCTTCCTGTGATTCAGCCTTATAAAAATCACCCCAAAATCATTTATAAGGAATGAAAACTGGGGGAGGTCCAGGGACAAGATCACTATTTTTGCAACTCTGTATCAGCACAACAGTTACCACACCTGTAGTTTGGTCACAGTGATTTCTGTGACCAAATGGAAGAGAATCAGGTTTATTGCTTTGCCAGCTTTTATGTTTTCTTTTAAACACTGGCCCTCGAGTTTAAGGATAAAACTCTTGAGAGAGTGTGGAACCCCTTGGGATTGGCGAACAGAGCACCTGAGATGGACTCGGGGCTCCAGTGTCTCCATGAGTCCTATCCTGGTCCTCCCTGCCGGCCTCCCCACCTGTATTTACACTGACCACTTGGTGGCACCAGATAACTGGACAGGGACAATTAGATTTTCATTCTTTCATTTTCTTCCTGTTGCATGCAGGGAGCAGGATTCTCAGTGTTCCTTGTGAGGCATGGAGGGAATAAATACACTATACACATTTCTTAGGTGACAAGCTCCAAACCCTGAGGAAGCCAGACCTGGTCTTGACCACCTTATTAGGTGGCTGGGCCTGCAGGCCCCAGCAGAGCTCTCCCCTGAGCCCCAGAGCCCCACCTCCTCAGGGCACACAGTCCTGTTTTGGAGAGGCCTGGCTCAACCCCTCCAGCCACAGACAGGTCACAGCCAGAGGGGAAATGGCCCATCTGCTTGTCCTCTCCTCTTTGAACAGAGCCCAGGGAAAGTGGGGACAGGGCCCATCTGATCTGTCTGTTCCCTGCAACTAGCAGGAAGCTGGTCTTCAGTGACCAGAAACAAGTTTCCCAGGACTGATGTTCCTGGGAAAGGAGGATCAGGCGTCAGGTAAGACAAGGCTGAGAAAGTAATAGTGACATTTCTGAAAGCAGCACTCAAGAGGAGACCAACTCCCAACAGTGTCCTTGAGCTGCTGTGCAAGCTCTCTGCAGCAGCTTCTCTTCCATGGCAGAGGGCAGAATGGGTCCGTGTGAGAAGATGAGTTTGTGATGGCAAATAACCGGGGGCCCTGTGCCCGCGTGGTGACACTTGTGCTCTGCCTCCACCTACTCTTCCTCCTACTACTACTTTTTCTCCTCCTTCTCCTTCCTCTTCCTCTCCTCCTCCCTCTGCCTCTCCTCTTTCTCCTTCTCACTTTCTTTGTTTTTTTTGAGTCAGAGATTCACTGTGTAACTCAGGTTGGCCTTGAACTCACAGCAATCCTCCCGCCAAGTCTTCGGAGCACTGGCATTGCACGTGTGCCCCACTACACCTGGTTTAAGAGCTGATCTAGGCAAAGGCCCGGGACAATCCCTCAGTATATCTTCATTTGTTTTTGTTGTTATGTTTTCCCCATACTGGGATTCGAGCCAAAGGCCTTGCCCATGGGAGGCAAGTGCTGTACACTGAGTCCCAGGCCCAGCCCCTGATGGTGTTGCTTAAGTCTCTTCATCTATAACAACCTCCCCGCTTTGTTTCCTGTCACTGATATGGCAGAGGATTAGGCCCTTTGTCTTTCAGAATGTCCACATTCTGGATTTGCTGTCTCTTGAAACAATGGAGCTTGTGCTGGTGTACTCTCAACTCCACGTAAACTCATCCAGAGGTTTGATTAGATTCAGGCTGGAGATGGTGCTGTGCACGTCCCGTCACAGATGCAGCAAAGCGCATTCGTGCTGGTTGTCTCACTTGTGATGTTCAGGCTGAGACCTGGGGTGCTGGGGCTTGGTGTGACCCGGTGAACCTTCTTCACCTAACTCTCTCAACGCCTGCTCGCTCTCCATTTCTTTCATTGCAAAAAAGTAGCTCTTCTGTTCTCATCGCTCATTTCACGTTTGCTAGCTGGGGCTCTTGTGTGAACAGCTTTCCTCCCTCAGCTCCCTGAAACACAGTCTGCCCAGGAAAAGCGGGACAATACTCGGCTCACCGTTCATTGATCTGTTCTCAGAGGACGGACTGCTATCGGAGCAACTCCCAGCCGTGACCAATGACTTTGGGTTTTTCTTTTTCCTCTTGAGTGTCACTGTGAATGCATTGGTTTTTATATATTTGACTTGTTTTCATCTGTGACCATTTTCTCCCTAATACTGGAGGATTTGAGACAGGGTCTTACTGAGTTGATCAAACTTGTGATCTTCCTGCCTCGGCCACTCTAGGTGTTGAGAGGCATGAGACAGTGTGCCTGGCTTTCATTCATATTTAGTGCTCTAGTTGTCCCTACCTTGGGCTGTCATGAGTCAGTTCTAGTTAGTTTCTGAATTCTTGTGGCCTAAGCACATTTGTCTTTGAAAGCTCCCTGCTTTCTTACACATTGTGAAATTCCAGATTGTGTTGCACATTTCCTGATCCAGATCTGAAATCCACACCCCTTTGCCCCCTTTTTATAGCCCTTTCTTTTTTCCTTATCATGTGAAGTGGTTTCACTGCCTGCCAGGGGTTATAATTGCTAAATCGCTGTCCCTACTTCTAGATGTTCCCCATGGATGTAGCTTGGAAATTTTTTATTATTTTAAAAAGAATAATAAGTTATTATTTCCATTTCAAACTTCATAGGACAGAATTTTTACTTCTTTGATTCTATTCTCTTTACTGGAAACCTTAGATTCTGAAGATATTAACTAAATCACCTATTTTCTTCATCCTGTAGTATAGTAATTTTATTGCCCCCTTCCCCACATACAGATCCCATGCTGTACATATTGTTGTGCATTATTTTTTAAATTAGGATGACTACAAATGAAACTACAGGGTGAAAGCTGATATTTGCTTTTGTTGTCCTTAGAATTTATCCTCTCCTGGATGGGGAAGGAAAAGTCATTTGGGTGTAGAGTTAAAGTCACTTGAATTAATTCCTTTCTTTGTGTAGTTATGTTAACAACCTGACAGAAAACTAGGCTTTTCTGTTTCTGTTTTCCACTTTTAAAGATTGTTTTATTTCCCTTTTTGCTTGATCTTGTCTTTCCTTTACATAAAATATTTACGTAGCTTCCAAGACAAGATTATAAATGCAAGTACCTTTGTACCCTTTTCCCCGTCTACTTCTTTCCTTCTCTCTAAAAAAAGCCGTTCTTATTCGTTACTTATTCTTCTATTTTTATTTTTAAAATATAAACAAACGCATGTATATATAAATGGTTTACTCTGTTGAGCCTGCGCCCATGTAGAGATCACCCTTGCCTCAGTGGTCAGCTGTGGAGTTCTCCGTCAGGTGATGCCCCTGGTTTACTCCAGCAGGCGCCTGCCTGACCAGGGACCCATGGGTTGTTTCCCACCCTATGAGTACTGATAAAGTGAATGGACTGGGGCACCTGGGCCATGTGTTTCAGCCACTCTGTCTCTTTGGAGGCCTTCTCCTGCTGTCCCAACTCTGGAGCTGTCTGGGCCATGGTCATGGCTGCCGCAGGCTGTGGCCATGGGCTGTCTGCTGTGGGGGCAAATGCAGGTATGTGGGGACTTTGTGTCCAGAGCTGCTGGCTGGGAGAACCAGGCTTTTGCAATGGGCTGATTCCTTCCTAGAAACATAAAGACAGCCTTTTGGGAACCATGAGTTCCCACTTTCAGGCTAGAGTCGGGAAAAGCAAACAGCACCTTTCATCTGCATTGGGACGGGGCCACTCCTCAGAGTCCCTAGTGCTCCATGGAGGTCAGGATGGCTGGGGTGGGGTTGGTGGGCACAAGGCACCCAGAGGACAGGGAAGGGGCTTTCCTTCCTTCACCACTGGTCTCAGTCATCTCCTTCCACCTATTGTTCAGGCTGCTAGGAAAATCTGGCAGCAAATTCCCACATCCTCTGAGGATTTGGTTCCAAATTAGATCCTTGAACTGGGGAAGAGGCTGTGACAGTGGTGACCAAAGGGTCAGCCCTCTCTGTTTCAGAGCTCAGGTGTGGAGGTTGGGTCACACAGACCAAATTTGTTTTCATTCTTCACCAAAAGAGGATGCAGTCTTGCAGCCATTGCAGCCATTGCAGCCCTGGATGGTTTGGACTACCTTAGGAGGACACTTCTATCAGGCAGGCTCTCAGGCTACAGTGTAGACATGGCCTCCAGCTCACCCAGGGGCTGGTGTTTAGACATAAGCTTTGATCTTCCCTTGGAGGACACCCAGGGCAGGTGTCCACAGAAGCCAGCCAGTGCCAGCCCTATGTCTCTCATCTTAGACCTCACACCTCTTCAGACCTTGGTCTTTCCACCAATAAAAAGAATGATCAGGTCTCTTAGGAAAATTCCCATCTCTACACTGCTCCTAACAGTAGCCTGTGCCCTTTGACAGAGCAGGAATAAACTGAGTCAGAAGGGCCAGAAACTTGTTGTGTGACGGTCCCTTAACCCACACTCCTGTTTTCACTCTGAGCACCCTGGGTCGCTGACAGATGGAGGTGGCTAGCATCTCACAATAACTCTTTTATCCTAGGGAGTCCAGGGGCACACTGGGCAGCCGGGCGCTTTCACATGACAGTATTTTCATTCCTGAGGCGGGACAGGACCCTGCTCGGCCCGTTCGAGTGTTTTCTCAAGAAAATGTGTGCGACCGGATTAAAGCGCTACAGGTGAGTGTTTACTTGACAGTGTCACATGGTGTATAGGTCAGCCATCAGCCCAGCAGTATCTAAGTGATTTCCACTTGGTCTCTTTGATGCATTTAAAGTAGATTCAGAGGCACATCACAGTTCTCCCAAGACACGCCACCGTAGCTTCCCCTGGACCTTGACTCATGCTGAGAGCTTAGATGGACACAGAAAGGTGACAGCAAGAGAGCTGGTGGTGACCGCCTTTTGGTTCAGCTCTCCACATCACAAGGAGGGTGTTGAAGATATTTCCTGAGCAAATGAATAGGAGCAGGGAGGCTTGTTGAGAGATGTCATCGGTGGAAAGAAACACTCAGAGCAGATGTTTTTTGTGCCAATCTAGTTAAAAATACAATGTCATGTGAAGATGGGGCCACCGCCTCCAGGGGGGCTACCCATCAAGCGGGCAGAGGACACTGGCATGAGCTCTGAGGATGACGGGTTGCCCCGGAGCCCCCCGGAGATGTCCTTGCTGCACGACGTGGGCTCAGGCACAACCATAAAGGCAAGTGCAGCGTGGGCCATTAACATTTCTGTCCTCTCCTGCCACTACTGGCAGCTAAAGCTTGGGGTCCCTGTGTGTTCTTCACCCCCAAAATGCCCATGGGTGAGAAAGGTTATGCAGAGCGCAGTGGCCCAGGTCACTGGAGCCTCCAGCTGGCCCCTAGGCGATGTTTGTTTTCATTCTTGGAGCAGAAATTCAGGTTTGGTGTAGAGATACGGTCTGGGTGACCTTTTAGGGGGATGGTGGGTCTGACGCAGAGCAGATAACCAGACCTGGAATCCCACTGAAAAAGAGAGATGCCTTTGTGTCTGTTCTCTGATGTCACAATGCAGTATTGGCTGGAGAAGGAAGGGACAGTAAGTAAACACACACTTAACCTGAGCCCCGTAGCCAAGTCACTGGCCCAGAGAACCTGTCAGTTTAGGTGGGATGGGGGTTGTGTTTCTGGTAGACAGGGTAGGAGTGGAGTTTATAACCTCAGTGGGACAACGACCTGATCCCAAATACCTCCCTCCCTATAGAATCGAGAGGAGGAACCGAGCAACGAGCTCTTCCTTGTGCATAAACAGTTCTTGATGACGCTGTCCTTTTAAAAATGTTACTTTATTGTGGTAAGAACACTCAGTACCCATGGTATGTACTTGCACATAAATGACCAAACAGATGGTCCTTCTCCTCACGTGAATAAGCCCTGCTATAGTATGGGATGAGTTGTAATTACTTAAGCTCTGTTGACATTTGAAAAGCAAATAAAGGCCAGAGTCCATATTTTATAGCCTCACACCTGCCCTGTACATCCCAGAAATGCTTTCACCTCTGGCTTGGCAAAGGGGCTGTTCACAGTGACATTGTGGGGCTGCATATTTTGTGTCACTGTGAATGATATTCATAACTGGGGTGCCTTGAAGTCCCCATCACTCCTAATTTTTGTAAGTACTTATGGGCTCCCGAGTGTCACAGACCAGGAACTGAGTTTCAGTCAGCCCCTGGGTTGGGGTTCCCATGGAGCTGACCAGAGAAGCATTCTCTCCAGAGTTCATTTCCAGGGTGGGCTGCTCCCTGCTCTCTCTGAGAAGAGTGGGCTCCCACACCTGCTGTTCAGCCTCAAGAAGAACTAGAAGGTGAAGATGATGGTGTGGGTTGGGGCCAAACCCCATCAAGCCAACCCTGCACCCCTTAATATAGTAAACACCTCCACGTAGTATACTCCCTCAGGAGTATACGTGACTTGGGCCACACACTGGGGAGATGTCTGTTGGAAGCCGCTTCCCTGCTTAGCAGTGACTGACTCTCCCTCCTCCCAGCCCGTCAGCCCCTGATGCCCATGACATGGCCTTTTCTCTGCCTGTAGTTCTCTGTCCAAAGCCAGTAGAAGCAGTAAAAAGGAACAGGTAGTTTCTAAGCCCTTCATGAAAGGCAAACCTTGCTCCAAAGCCATTCAGTGCTATGATACCCAAGTTCCACCAGTGGTCGGGTGTGGCCACTCATGCTAGGCTAGGGCTGACCCCATCTTTCATGGCAGCACCCTACCACATATGTTTTAAGTTCTGAAGCATTGTCAGTTACCGAGTAATGTTCACAACTAGTAACTTCATAGGGAACCAAAATTTGAGCCTTTAAAAAAAAAAAAATATATATATATATATATATGTGTGTGTGTGTGT